TAAAAAAAAAAAACCATGAAGATGGGCCAGGTGTGGTGGCTCACACCTGTAATCCCAGCACTTTGGGAGGCTGAGGCAGGAGGATGGCTTCAGCCCAGGAGTTCAAGACCAGCCTGGGCAACATAGGGAGACCTCATGAACAAGGCAGACAGATCTGGCAAGGGAGCTTTCTCCAGGACTAGCTAGGGGCACCTCAAGCTTTCCTCTCTCCCACAGATTCCTCGGGCTGGTGGAAGGGCCGGCTTCATGGTCAGGAGGGCCTCTTCCCAGGAAACTACGTGGAGAAGATCTGAGCTGGGGGCCTGGGATTCTGCCTTCTCTTTTGCCCGCCTGTCTGCCTGCCTGCCTGCCTGGTGGGGAGCCAGGCCCTGCCAATGAGAGCCTCGTTGACCTGGGCTACCTTGGCCTAAAAGTCCAGTCCTGTGGCCTCCAGCCCTGCCCAGGCCATGGGTCTGTGGGTCCCTGGTGCAGCCCCCCGTCCCTGGGCCCTGGTCTTCCCCCAACACCACACCCGCTGCCTCTTCTCCATTTCTGCCTGTGTCAAATGGGACTAACAGCAGAATCTACCTCCCACCTGCCGTGTGAATAAGAGATGAGTCTCAAGTCCTGGGCTGTTGGCAAAGTGCTGGGCACAGTTGCAGGGAGGGGTCCTTGACAAGTGTGACTGCTCATTTTGTCATCACAAAGGCAATAAATGTTTGCCAGGTGAAAGCATGAGTGAACTTACTAAGAGGATGAACTCTTAGTAAGTTACAAGGATGAACTTACAAGGATGATGTTTTCACAACCCTGTGAGGTAGGAGCCATGAAGGATTCCATCTTACAGGTGGAACAATGGAGGCTCAGAGAGGTTCACTGACCCAAGACTGCACGGAGCCATGCTTTGCATTCATATGTGGCTACAAAGCTTGAACTTGTCCCAGTTTCAGCCAGGCGCAGTGGCTCACACCTGTAATCCCAGCACTTTGGAAGGCCAAGGTGAGCAGATCACCTAATGTCGGGAGTTCAAGACCAGCCTGGCCAACATGTTGAAACCCTATCTCAACTAAAAATACAAAAATTATCTGAGCGTGGTGGTGGGCACCTGTAACCCTAGCTACTCAGGAGGCTGAGGCAGGAGAATCCCTTGAACCTGGGAGGTGGAGGTTGCAGTGAGCTGAGACTGTGCCTTTGCACTCTAGCCTGGGCAACCAGAGCAAGACTCCTTCTAAAAAAAATTTTTTTAATTAGCTAGTCTCATGGTGCATGCCTGTATTTCCAGATGGCTGCAGTGAGCTATGGTTACAATGATGTACTCTAGCCTCAGCAACAGAGCAAGACACAGTCTTTATTTTCTTTTCTTTTTTTTTTTTTTTTT